TTGGTTCTGGTCGGTTCTGGTCCGAGACTCACTGATCCACAGGTGGATGTGGTAGAGGAAGAACCGGCCCAGAACCTGGTCCAGGGCCCGGTTCATCTTCAGGCCGGCCGGAGCTCCCATCAGCCACTGCAGCAGCTCCTCCAGCTGCTGTGCCACGCTCTGTGGAGACAGAGCAGGGCATGCTGGGAAATTACCGGCTATGAGTCACAGGAAGGAACATTTACAGTTAATGACTTGAATGCAAAAACAAAACAAAAAAAACAAAAAACTGAATACCATAAAAAAAAAATCTTAAATGTCTCATCATAATTTTTGTTTTTCAATCATTTTTAAAAATGTATTTAAATGTAATTTCTGATTGGCTACCAGTCAAATTCATGAAGTTATTTTGCTGCTCAAGCAAGAAAAAGCCCAAAGGAACCAACACTGCTGCAAAAAGCTGTAAGAACAGAGGCAATGCAATGAAATTTAATGTGATTAATATAAAACATTACACATTTTCTTACAATCAAAACAGTGGATCGTGTTGAAAAGTTGCATTATCTGGTAATAAAATAATTACATGTTATCTGCCACAGAACTAATGGGCGTCTAAAATCAGACAGTAGGAGGCAATAAATAATTACTGAATAAATAATTACTGAATAGTGAATAAAAAACATTCTAAAATTTGATGTTTATTTACGTGCTTCGTAGCATTGTCTGTGGGATTGATAAGGAGGTCAGAGGTCAACGTTGTTTGGAAAAGTTTGGGAACTCCTGGTCTAAACTCACTGACTCTTTGGTTGGTTGGATGTTCAGACATCCAACCCAGACCCACCATTCTATATCTACAGTATATCTCTATATAATCTCTATATAATCTCTATATAATCTCTATATAATCCCATATCTGCTGTGACTCACGTCGGCGGCCGGCACCATGTTGCTGGCCAGCATGGCGATGTGTTGGTCTCTGTAGAGCCACAACATGAGCAGGACGCCCAGCGAGACGTCCAGCAGGACGGACACCAGGACGTTGGCCTTCCTGCAAGACAGACAGGGGGACAGGTGAGAGGGACGGACCCTGTCTGACCCGGCCCAGCGTCCCTCTGGGACAGAACCTCCTCCCACCTCATGAAGTCCATGTGGGCGTCGGCCTGCGGGGCGCCCAGCGTCTGCAGCCGCTCGGTTCTGTAGCTCAGCTGGACGCAGGTGGACAGCTTGGAGGACAGGAAGCGCAGCGGGAAGACGCTGAGGATCCTGGGAGAAACGGCAGGAGGTCAGAGGGAGGCAGCAGGACCAGAACCGGAACCGGACCGGGTTCAGGCTGGAACTATGACTCACTCAGGCTGAAATCGGTTCAGACATTAAAACGTTTGCAGGGGATTTTCTCCATAAAACGACTCGATTTGGACGAGAATAAAACCTGATTAACAACATGCAAGTAAAAACTTATGGTTTTATAAAAAAATCTAATTTAATCTGCAAATCATAACAAGAGAAAATATGTTTCTAATATTCAATGAGATTATTCACAAATTTTATCTTTTACTAACAACTGGAGAAAAAACAACTAAATTAATAAAATTATTCATATTTTATTATATTATTAAGCATCTGTAGCAACAAAGACACATTCTGTGGAAAAGTGTGGCAGCCATGTTTCAGCCAGCTGACTGGCAGTGTGCAGGAACAGGTGGGGGAGGGGTCTCTGACTTCTTTCCCAGCTTCTCATTTAAAGGCCATCAAGGAGAAACCAGGAGGAAAATTTGACCCATTTTTAATTTTTCAGAACCTTTTTGTACAGTGAAGCCAGGAATCAGTTTAGTCTGTTTTTCCCGTCTGAGACGATTTGCAGGTTTTCTTCAAAACTAATAATCATTTTTATTTACTGTTGTGTTTATTTATTTTAACTGTAACTAATAAAACTTTGAAGAAAGACATAGCTCTTCTCAGTTCAGAGTGTATTTCTCAGCGGTTCTCCCTGATATTTAAAGATTGCGCTCCGGCCCGGTTCTCCTCACCGGGCGCTGCAGATCCAGGTCCAGACGGAGAGCATCCGGCCCAGCAGGAGGCCCAGCGGAACCGAGGCCTGCTTCAACAGCTCCACCACGATGCTGGCCTCCCGGCCCTCAGACTGCCAGTGGGTCGACCGCAGCGGCCCGTCATCGTACCGGTCCAGGACGAAGAGCGGCTGGCTGCGAGCCACCGTCCCAAACACCTGAGAAGGAAGAGGAGGAGGAGGAGGAAGAGGAGGAGGATGCAGGGGAGGAGGAAAAGGAGAAGTAGAAAGAGAAGAAGGAGGAGGAGGATAGGGAAGAGGAGGAAGAGAAACGAAGAACAGCCGTTGTTATAGCAACGGCTACTGGACGTCCAAATAAACCATCAACCAAACAAGCTGGATAATGACTCTAAACAAGCAGCCAGAAATATTATGGGATGGTTGAGATCAGAACTGATTCATGTGTTAGAATGGCCTAGTCAAAGTCCAGACCTAGATCCACTTTATACACAGTGGCTGCAGACCTCTGCTCCAGATGATCAAAGCTGGAAGAGGCTAAAGGCCACAAAAACACGCCACACTTTTCAGAAAGAACAGAACCCTTCAGAACCTTCAGAACCCGGATCGTCTCTGGTCCTCTGGTACCTGTCTGAGCTCAGAGTGAGGTTCTGATCCGTCCCCAGACTCCTGGGCCTCCACAGGATGAAGCTGCGACAGCATCACCTTCCTCTGCTCGTAGTGGACGAAGATCACCTTCTCCTCATCCTCCTGCTCTGCGTCGCCGTCGTCCTCTTCGCTCTTCTTCTTCTCTGCTTTTTCTCCTGAATCCTTCCTGCAAACTGGAGGAGAGAAAATTTTCCAGTTTTCATCGCCAAGAAGGAAATTTATGAATATGAGATGATTTTAGTTTGACTGAAATAATAAAATAAAATATTTATTAAATAATCAAATAAAAATCAAGCTAACAGTTCTGATTGATGAGCATTATTTCTGCTGCTGCTCCAACTCATTATGAAGGTTTTATTCTGTTTTATTATTATTATTAAATTTTTTTTTTATCTGTTTGTTGTTAAAATGTTTGAAATATAGATTTCCAGATTATCCAGAGATAAGGACTGCACAGTGGCACAGCTAGTAGAGCTGTTGCCTTGCAGCAAGAAGGTTCTGGGTTCAATTCCTGGTCTTTTTGCACAGAGTTTGCATGTTTTCTCCAGGTACTCCGGCTTCCTCCAATCCAAAAACATGACTGTCGGGTTAATTGGTCTCTCCAAATTCTCCCTAGGTGTGAGTGCATGGTTGTGTGTCTCTGTGTTGCCCTGCGACAGACTGGCAACCTATCCAGGGTGACCCCGCCTCTCGCCCAGAACCTTAGCTAGAGATAGGCACCAGCACCCCTCCCGACCCCACTAAGGGAAAATGGATGGATCCAAAGATTATCCAGATTTTTCCAGACTCAAAAATCCAGTTTTCAGGAATCTTTGAGGAAGGAAACAACATTAATTTTAATAAATGAAGGCTGTTTGTAAACTGTCTCTGACTGCTGCTCTTGTCCTGAACTCCAGCAGGGGGCGCTCACTCTGGTCCTGGCTGAGCACCTCGCAGCTGAAGCCAGTCTTTCCGAACTGCCTTCTGATCTGGAGCCAGCGCTCCTGGGGGAAGATGGTGCTCAGGTCCCTGAGGAAGCTCTCCATGCCCTCCTGCCCATCTTTAGGGAGACTCCAGGAGCCGAGAACCGACAGATCAACGCCACTCTGAGCCTGCATCTGGGACGACAGCATAGAGGGAAGAAGTCCAATTAGTTACTGCGGTTTATTTAACGGGACCCTGATTCACCCAAACAAGTCCTAAAGCTGCAGAATGTAAATTAAAAATCTATATTTTTTACGTATTTGTTTAAACTGTCACCATGCTGAGACAGTTTAATATGAAACCGATCCACTTTCTTCCAGTGATTAGAAACAACCAATCAGAACAAGGAGGCGGGTCTTTGCGCTGTCAATCACTCAGATTATATCACTTATAACAGGACATTTTTCCCTTTTTCACTTTATCTGCCAATGGAATAAGTACTTTTTATTATTATTAATGAACAAACAAGCCTCTATATCTTCCAGAAACATTACTTTTAAGTTATTTTGACTTGTTTCAATTTGCACTAGAAACTAAACCAAAAATACTTGGTAACATTTTGTGTATTGCAGTGTAGCTGAGGGAGAAGGTGGAGGAGATTCGATCTTTTCACAGATTATCTGTCTCATAGCAAACTGTCACAGTTTTAGCTAATATGTTAAAAACATATATTTTTTATAAAAGTTACATACTGCAGATTTGGTTCGTTATCAATCATATTTCCAACATTAAAGTCTCAACTGATCGTAAACACACCCAGACAGCACAAAGAAAGAGTAATGAATTTATGTCTGTAACGTCTATTTTTTCATTCACCACAGGACAGTATTTAGTGTCGCACCGACCTGCTGGATGTACTGCTTGACCTGAGCCGGGATGAACGGGTAGTGGATGACTGCCAGCACCACGGCCGAGTCATGGCCGGAGATCCAGCGGCCCACCAGCAGCCCGCTCTCCGCCCGGTTGCAGCACTGTGGGAAGAAGATCTTCAGCACCATGACGTTCACAGCTCTGATGATAAACAGAAGAAATATTCAATTAGTTCAATGTTAACAAGTTAAAAACGTTGGATCAAACTTTACACTGGAATGACGGAGGAGGAGAAAAAGGAGGAAGATACATTTCATATATAATTAATGATTTTTAAGTGAATAGTTTTAGAAATAAATACCTAATATTTATAAGTCTGTTTGCAATAAAGATGTATGTTTCACTTCTTGAAGTAAATAACTGTAATAAATTGATTACATTTCGATTTAATGAGATTAACAGGTTTTTGTCTTTATTTTTGTAAAAAAAAAAAATAGAAAAAAAAATAAAAAACTAAACTGAAAACAGGACAATTCATCCTTCTTCCACTGGGTTTAAAAGGTTAAATCTAATCCAAATCAATTAGTAATCTTCATTAGTAGCAAAATTAATAGCAAAAACGAACAGTAGGAAATGTAGTATGTGCTAGGCAGCCATAAAAACGTCAAAACAACTGCAGACATCTAAATCCTTTAAGGAGACATTGTTGATGAATTGAAACCAAATGGAAAGGAGATTCAGATGAATGTAATGACGAATCGCCGAATCAAAGCCTGAAATATTCATTCATTTAAGGTAAACTGTGTCTATTGACAGATAAGCGCAATCCGAGGAAAGCCTCCAAATCGGACAGTATTTAAGTGGAGTTTGGTGAGAACGCTGGCCTCCTTTCGCCCTTCACTCGCCCCGTTGTGGTTGTCATGGCAACACGGGGAGCCCTGGGCTGGAACCTCATTGATTTCTGCGGCAGTGATCTCGATTTCACAATCCAAGAGGAGGAAGTAGGTCAACTGTAGAGCTAGCTGATAAAATACGAAGCTGTCACCCGAGAAATATTTATTAGCAGAAGTGATTAAAATGAATAAGTAATGTTGGTATATTAGGTTCTTCCTGTCAAACTCCTGCTGACAGCTCATCGACTTAAAACGCTTAAATCTACGCTAAATTAAAACGCAGAAGCTCCATTAAACAAACAAACTGTTGAGCTGATGGGGAGCATGATGGAAAACGAGATGCGAGTGTGATAGACTTTAATTTTACCTTCCTTAACACAATTAAACGGTGTCTCCTTCCGAGTCCGGTTCTTCTACTTCAACAACGTCGCCATTTTATTTGTTTATAGTCCGTCACTTAAAGTGTCCGAACAGAAACAGGCGTGTTTGTTCTGTTCCCTTCTACAAAGTTTGGTGAAAAACCATAAAAATACATGGAGAGAATTTTGTTGACTGAAAAATAAATTTTAATATATGTTTAAAATGACTTACGGCAACAGACAGAATCATAATCTGTCTGAAAAATCTGATATTTTAAAGTATAATGAATAAAACTTTTCTATAAATAAATTACATAATTACAGCATGATAAATTCAGGCAAAATTATTCTCCACGTCATTTTTTTCAATACAAAACCGACGAAACTAATACTTAAACTCGGTAATATGTATATTTGTTAGAACTGAGTGAAATACTTACAGGATAATATTTATTCTTTTGTCATTATGTATTTTATTCCTGAGTTCTTGGTTGAATTTTAATAATCATTTTTTATCAAAGACATAGATATCGACTAGACTCAGTTTTTAATTATTTATTGATTGCATTTATTTAATTATTTTTTTGACTTTTCAATATTGCTACTTATTTTGTTCTTTTAATATTAATTTTTTTTTACCATTTTAGTATTTTTTTTAATTAAAGTTACTTTTGCTGTCATTTAATTTTATTGGTTAACCTATTTAATATTTTTTAACAAAATTGTGGCCCATTTCTTGACATGTATTTTTTATTCCTTCATTTACATCTGATTATTTTACAATTTGCTTAATATAATTGATATATTGTAGTTACTATTAACTACATAATAAATTATTTTAATAATTTTACTGATTTTTTAATGATTAGTAATTGTATTATTTGGTTTACATCAGGCTAGTTCTATAATTGTGTATAATTGTGTGTCTTTGTAACAACTTTAAAACTATGGACAGACTGCAAACTGCAATGTTATACAAAATAATAATTTTATTATTGCAATGAATAAATTCCAGCTGATTTGTTACTATATGTTGATGCACATAGTGTCAACAGCCTTGTCTGTTTTTGTAATACATTTTAAAGCAGTTGCATTTGACATTACAGAATTATTATCTAATATTTCATTTTATATTAAATGTAAACTTTTTTTTTAAGTTTATGTAAGAATAAATAGAAAGTTTGATCTGTTTTTTACTCACCAGGTCAGGCTGCTGCTGTTAACATCCAAACTGTAAAGAGTTTTATCTGCTCCCGCAGTGACACCGCAAAAAAAGAGCGGGAAGGAAACTTTCAGCTGATAAAGAAGATCTAAAAGCTCCGTTTCATGCAGGATTGTAATTTCACTATTTTATTTTAAATGTGTTTGATTTAAATGTCAACATTTAATTTTAAAAACAACTAAAACATTTTAATAACAACTTTTACCTATTATAAACATAATTAGTAAATCATTTTGATGTAAAAATATTATTAATTGCATTCAAACTACATTACCCAGGAGCAGTAGTAAACCTCGCATTGAACTATGGGTAAGCAGGAAGTAAACAAACACACGTGGAAGATGGCGCTTTCAGAGCAGAAAGAGAGGAAACCTGAGGATATTTTACGGGATTTTCGGGCCTCGTTTTTCTCCATGAACCGCTTGGCTTCGTTTCCCTGGACGGTGAGTTTGAGGCGCCGCCAAACTCCGTTGAAAATCTGCCTGATTCTGCTGCGAGGCTTTAATTTAAAACACCCACTGAGATCAGCTGCTGGGCAATAATCACACATAAAATGTTTCAGTTTCTGAAAGCTCCGGCTGCGAAAACACTCAGCAGTGGATTTATATTGCACAACTTTCTTTATATCCCTACATAGCATTTCAATCAGATAGAGGTCTGGAGTTTGACTAGGCCATTACAACAGTTTGTGTCTCTTCTGTTGCATTCTAGCTTCTGTGTTTTGGATCATTTCTGATTTAGTATGGCTCCAAACGTTATGCATCTTTGCAAACCAAAGTCATGCACCCGTTTTGTTTTTTAAAGGATGAATCTTTCCGTCTTTGATTTTAACAGTTTCTAGACAATGAGCTGCAGAGCAACAAGTCATCAGAGTTCATCTCAGAGCTACTGAAGCAGGTGGGATGATCCTCACAGAACTTTACTTTCTGTTTAATCTGAATTAAATCTAAAATAATCCAGTGTTTTTGTTTTTTACAGACATGTCTTCATCCTCTGTGTGGAAAGTTTCCACCATCGGTCCGATTCAGGAGGATTTTCCTCTCTGAGCTCATCAAACGGGTCAGTTTCATTAAGTTCACAACAGAAATTATTTTCTTTCCCACTAATTTCTGATTTCCAGTGATTCCTACTAATAGGCTGTTGTGTGTCTGTGCAGCAGGAGGCTGCAGGCTGCGACCCTCTGGATGAGCTGTATGACGCCCTGGCGGAGGTGGTGGGGGTGGAGGAGACGCCGCACTGCCACAAGAGCTACTTCCTGGTACTGATCGCCTCCGTCACTGGAGCGGAGAACCAGGATTTATTAAGCAGAAGCAAACTAACAGCTTCAGTCCATCCACTGCAATAAGCAGCACAATTTAATAAATATACAAATAATTTTTTTAGTCATAATTTAAATTGAATTTGAATTAAATTAATTAAATATTTGTTTAATAATTTATGTAATAATTCATAATCATTTGAGGAAATGGACAAGTTGTGTAATTTAATTATAACATTTGGACTTTTTAATTTAATAAATACCTGAGCTTGCAGTTTAAATGAATTTAAATTTAGTCATTTAAACTATAACTAAATGTATTTAGTCGTGTTCAGAGTTTGGATGTGATTTTTGTGCCGCAGCCCAGCGGAGACGCCATCAGCCTTCTGGAAAACGTGGCTGTGATCTCTGAGGGAACGACGGGCCTGGTGACCTGGGAAGCTGCTCTCTACCTGGCAGAGTGGGCTCTGGAGAACCCACAGGTGTTCACCGGCAGGTGTGACGTCACCTGAACCTGAGCCGCAGCAGAGCCGTGTGAAGCTGCACAGCAAAAAATTAACAGCAATAATGAACACTTGATGCTTATGCATTTATAAATGTCAGGGTGTCAAACTAAATACTTAGCTACAAAATGAAATATTTAAATATATAACTAAATTAAATAGACAGTTTACATTTTTAGTTCTAAACTAACCATTGCACTAAAGATTTTTTAGCTTAAGCTAAATATTTACTTCATAAGCTCAATATTTAGCTTAGAAAATATTAAGTTTGCAAACTTTATATTTAGATTGAAATTAAGCATATAACTAATTCCAAATCAAATAGTTATTTTAAATGTTTAGTTCCAAAGTAAATATTTATTTTAACTAAACATGTACTTGTCAAACTAAATAT